GCCCTTTTGTTACTTGGAGGGTTTATTTTCTGGCAGCAATTAATCTTTTATTATCTTGAGGTTATTCCTCTCCTTGGGAGGTTTAAGCATCATTCTAATTTTTTGGCGGAGCATAATGTCTTTGGGGATGTTGATTATGTGTATGCTCGACCATCCAGATGTGATCTATGTCTTCATGTGATTCCCATTTTTATAAACATTAGTATTTTTCTTTATCATTGAGATAAATCAGCTTCACCTTATGTAGCTTAGTTGCCCGTTTCTTTAGTTGTTCATTTTCTTGCCCTTCATCGGGCATTTCTAGGGCATTATATGTAAGGATTATCTTCAAAAGCATGCATTCATAGTTGATCTTTGACAATTTGTCTTAGCTGTTGCTCTTTGTTTTTTGGCATGTGAATTTGATTGTGATTAATGAGGTTTTTGCCCTTGATATGGTTTTTGGGGCCTTTTGGTACTTAATCCTTGGGGATGATATTGCCCACTATCACAATCCTATTTTATTATGACCCGGCCATGATGCTCGATCTAATGAGGCGAAAATAAGTGGTTGAATGATTATTCATTATCATTACTATTGACAAACTATATATATATATATATATATATATATTATAAGTGTTACTAAACTACAATTATATTTAAAATACTATAGTTGTTTCAAATAAATACCTCTCTCAGAGCGTCGCATCTACGGTATACATTTGGTTCTCTTCCCCTCATTTAAATTTCTACGGATGATACCTTTGTACATTTGTTCCATGATAGGGGTGAGTTATAACACAACCTAGTGAGGAATCATGTTTTAAATCATAATAACACAATGACATTTTTTACAACATGCATGTTTTCTATAAAAAATGAAGTAAATTAAATTTAGTTATAATAACTCTATTTAAAATTATTTTTTTTTGGAAATGATGATTAATCAGATGTTATATATATTGAACACTTAAATTATGTCTTTTTATCTTTTGTAATTAATACAACTGTTAGATGAGACAACATTTAAATAGTACTAGTTACGATACTTATATTTTTATTTTCTTTTGCATTGATGTTCGTAGGTACATTCCCTCCCCATTCAATACTATAAGGGTTATGCTTCATAATTCAATCATGTATATGCAATCATTTCTATCTAATCATTTTATTCATATATCATTCAATAATTTTATATAATAATTTGAAATATAACATACTATAGCTATCATTTATTTCAAGATGACCAATCATTGAAAATATGAAATTTAATTTATGTTTAAATTGCAATAGCAACTAATTAAGCACGTTTAAATATCCTCCCATGCATATAGTTTAAAAGAAAACAACATCATTGTTATAATTTAAAGACATGAGTATATATATGTCATAATAATAATAATAGTTTTCTCAAATAAAATTTCTATCTCTAATTTCAAAAAATAAATCTTTATTCTTGAACTTATTATTTCCATATTTATATAATTTAAATAAAATTTATAAAAGAACCTTACCATTTGCAATTAAACCATTGAGACCTAGGCCGCGCCCATGCTTCCCCGCTTAGTTGTTCTGCATGCAACTCCCTCATTTGTTTGTTCGCACACCACAACTCAGTTGTGTGTGATGGCATGAAACAAAACTGTCTCTTTGGATCAACCACTCATGTTGCTTCGTGCCCCCTTTCTTTCTCTCTCAGTCTCTCCCTGTCTCTCCTTCTTTTGATTTTTAAAGGAATGCAACCCATTGTCTTCTTTGACACCAAGCGACGAAACCGATCTTCATTTTCTTCGACACCAAACGATGGTATGGTCCTTCTCTTCCTTGAAACTAGGAAAAACGCTAGAATTGGCCGAATCTACTATCACCAGTTCTCGGGATATTACTTGTTTTCACTAAGTAGTATCTTTTTATCAGTTGTATATTATTTAGAACATATATAATATCTTCCTTCATTTTAATGGTGTAGAATCCATTCTAGATCTTTATTGTGGTGCTGTAATTTTCCTTTTGAGAGTGGCTAGTTATTGAAGGGATGAACTTCGACGCGAACTTCTTATGCTTTCTTTAGAGTACCCATTCGTTGATGACTTAGAGGAATTACAAATGAAAGTGGATACATACTCCTTATGTGGGTACTTTTGAGTTGGACAATTGAGATGCCTCCAAAAATGACTTTCAGTTTTGCTCTCTGTTGTTTTGTTTTACCCAACATAACAATTTAAAGTCATTAATTGTCGGGGATGTTGGCCTCCATCTATTGCCCTTTTGTGCCGTTAGACAAAGTTTTGGGTGCTTGATTTTGAGACAATCATTTGTCGTTCTTCTAGTCCTATGTATTTTGGTACAAGAAAAGGATGCTTTAAATCATGTCTTCTTGTTGTGAAGAGTAGATCTAATAACATTATAGAATAGATATATGGGTCACTAAAAAAGTTGGTGATTGTTAAATTGATTTCAGGTTTACAAGCCCTCCTTTTTGTATGGTCATGGTAGTTGAAAGTATCGAGAAAATTGAGGCCCTCTTAGGACCAACCTAATAGTAGCAACATTGTTGCCCTTGATTTATTGATTTATTGGGAATAATCACCTTAGGGTTCCTCCTGCTGGTTGATGTGCCTAAGTTTTAAATTTAGTAGTTGTTTTGGTGGGAGCCTCTCTTGATTTGTGTAGCTTCAATAGCTTGGGTGGTGGTTGGAAAATGCCTCTTTGCCTCAGAGATAGTGCTAAACTAAATGGTAATAATTGATGCCACATGATTGTTTGTGTTTAGTTAACAAAATCACATAGCAACTATCACTATTATGGACCGATCATTCATTATATTTAAAATTACATTGGCACTAACAATTTGAGGCTCAAGTAAATCAAAGATGAAGAGAGAAATTCTCTGAAATAAGTTGTTAGAAATTAGATTGTTTAGGAGAAACCACCCCAACCTGGTGCCTCCTCGATATTTGGGAGTAGTTTCTTTTTTTTGTTTTGTTTTTGAGGTAGATTTAGTTTATTTAAGTTAAATCTCTCTTAATGAGGATGCTTAGTTTATTTAAATTTTGGGTAATGATTTCTTATTGTTATAAACCCTGATGGTCATTTATCCCTCATGGTCAAGAGAGAGCCCTTTAAATTAAAGAGGTTGCTAAGCTCAATTTAGATAAAATATTGCTAAAATTTAATTCTGTAGAGAATGGCTAGGAGGTAGAATTGATCCAGATTCATTTGTTCTATTTTCATAGGTTTATTATTGGATCCAATGTAACAACATTAGAGGGCTTTGAGCCTTAAAATATGCGGAGCTTGATTAACAACCATAGTTTGCCTTTTTGTAGATATCCTAAGAAGATCGATATTTTTATGTGTCAAAAATGTGCTTTTTTGTAGGTTGGCTACAGCTCATTCAAAACAGAGGGCTGATTGTATCTATTTTCATTAAATAGTTCATGGGCACGTTGCTTGAACACTTTTAGTTTAAAGGCATTGGGAGAGGACTAGTGGTGATAATGAAAGAAAATTCCTGCATATTGTTCTCTTGATGTGAGAGTTTTGAGAGCTTTGGAGAAATCCCTAGGAGAGGAAAAATGGATCACCCACCAACCTTGGAAGCGTCTGGGTTTGTGGTTCTCTCTTCCCTTATTTCTTCTTTTCTCACTCATCCCCTTCCTTAGTGCTGGCCTAAGCCCTCCCATCCACAAGCCTCTAGCTCTTCCCTTCCTCCCTCCCCTCTTGGCCAACACCCCACCCTTGTCTCCCTCCACTGCTGGCCTAGTCCTTTCCCAAAGCCATCGGCCAAGCCCAACCACCCCCTTCTTTCCCTATAGCCACCCTCCTCCACCACCTCAAGCCACCGGACCTTCCAACCAAGACCAATTCACCGGTCGCCACTTCCCCCTTCCCCTTAGATCCCCATTGAAAACTCCCATTAATACTTTCCATAATTGGCCCCTTGTATTTTGGAAAGAATTTGAATTCAAATTCAAAATAATTTGAATTTCAAAAGCCTTCTAATTAAGTCTAATTCCTTTAGGAAAAAAACCCAATCACACCAAATATGAGATTAAATCTCAGATTTAATTCTCAATTGCAATTAATGCCATGGTCCACCTACATTGAATGTGGACAGAATCTCCCCACCCTCTCTCACCCAAGGCCGGCCCTTTCCCGCCCTCTCTCTCACCACATTAAATCACCTCCCACTAATTACTCCAATCAACCTCTCAAGTAGGAATAAGTTTTCCTTTCCCTCCCAATACCTTGAAGTCAAATTACAAACCCAGGCTCATTCCTAATTAAATCTTAAATTTATTTTCAGGTTTAATAAAACCTGTAGCAGCCCTAGCCGCCCCTTTCAGAAGCCTTTTCCTCTAGACTTCTTCACGTTGGAATTTTCCTAACTGCTGTCCAAGGATTACAACAGGTCAACCTTGCTGTCCTGCATCTCCGAGAGGTCTTCCTACAAGAAGATACACCACCCATGGTATACAATGTGATGAGCGACAGTGGAAGTTGCGAAGATTTGGTATCCACCCTCATGGTGGAGAAATTGAATCTTCCAATCACTGCTTTTCCAAGACCATAGTAGACGCCTTAGCTCAAAAAGGGAAGCAAAATCTCAATCATGAAATGATATTTGGTACAATTTTCAATTGGCGGGAAGTTCCATGAATAAGTACTTTGTGACGTTGTTCCCATGGATGCTCGCCACTTTCTTGGGTGCCTTTGTTAATTCGATCACCAAACTAAGCACACCAGATTTCATGATACTTATTTCTTTCACAATGACGGGCAAGTGATGGTGCTATTGCACTTACAAGAGTCGTTTGAAGCTACTTTCCACCAACCAGAAGTAGTGCCTCAATCCCTCTTTATACAGACATGCAAATTGGCTAACCATGGTTTGGCATAAGTGGCCGTGGAGGCTAAGTTGAGCAACCCCTGCCTCCAGTAGCTGTACAACCTCTTTTCCATCAGTTTGCAGATGTTTTTCAAATTCTATATCACTGGGACTTCTTTCGATATAGGAAATTATGGTCATCCCAAGCCGTCTCACGTACTGGATTGCACTGAAGGAATATGTCGAGCTACAACCATGGGTTGGCCTTTAGTGGTCAAAGACGCCAATCTTTAGCAACCCTTGCCGCCAGCAGTTGTACAACCTCTTTTCCATCAGTATGCAGATGTTTTTTTTTTTTTTTCAGATTCTATATCACCGAGACTTGCTTTGATAAAGGGAATTCAGCATGCCAGCAATTTCATTCTAGGGTCTGTCATCCCAAACTATCTCGCTTGTTGGATGGCGTTAAAGGAATATGCCGAGCTGCAACGACAAGTGGAGTTGATAGCAAACGGCCAAGTCTGGCCAAGTGCACGTCCATGTACATTACCTGTGCTCCTTGTACCAAAGAAAAATGGGTTTTGGCGGATGTGTATAGGCAGTAGCACTGTAAACAAGGTAACCATCAAGTACCGCTTCCCCATTCCATGGCTTGTTGACTTCTTTGATCAATTGTTGCACCTAGCATCTTACTTCTCCAAGATTGATCTCTAAAGTGGATATCATTAGATACGAATGTGGTTAGAAGATGAATATGACTTCGTTTAAGTCTCGTGACCTTCATGTAGATGATAAATAAGATCTTCAGGCCTTTCCTAGGTACGTTTATTGTCGTTTATTTTGATTTATATATTTGTGTACAACAAGAATGTGGGAGAACCCCTTTAATTCCTAGAACTTGTGTTCAAAAAACTTCGGGAATAAAAGTTGTTTTCCAATGCATCTAAATGTGAATTCTTTGCCAATATTATTAAGTTCCTGGGTTTTGTTGTTTTGAAAGAAGGAATCATGATGGACCGAACAATGATTGAGGCCATTGTGAGTTAGCCTACACCTCAATACATGATTGACATCCAACCATTTCATGGGTTGACTTCTTTCTATCGTCATATCATCAATAACTTTAACACTATAGTGGCCTCTCTAATAGACACCTCAATGGAGTTGGAATGAAGCCGCACAACATAGTTTCAAACAATTGAACTTGCCCTTCTAGATTTCAACTAACTATTTGAAGTTGATTGTGATTCATCAAACTTTGGCATTGGGGCTATTTTAAGCTAAGGTGGCCATCCAGTGGCCTATTTAAGTAAAAAGCTTAAGGACACACGCAAAAAAATATTCTATAGACGACATGGAATTTTATGCTATCGTGCAGGCTTTACTGCATTGGAGTCACTATTTGTTAACACAAGAATTCATGCTGTGCTTTTATCATGAAGCACACAAATACCTTCATCATCAAAGTAAGTTAAAAGGAAGACATGCCAAGTGGATGGAGTACTTAGACTCCGTCCACTATTCCCTCAAGCACAAATTCGACCTATCTAATCAAGTAGCTAACTTTTTAAGTTGACAACTGGTTTTAATCAACACCTTGCAACTCAAGATAGTTGGATTTGATACAATACAAGATCTTTATGCACTGGATCAACATTTTCATAACATCTGGGAGGCTTGCCAAAAAGGTATGCATAAACTCTTTCCACATTGAATATGGGTATTTTTTTTGGCAACAGATTGTGCATACCTTCTTATTCTTTATACGAGAAAATGATCAAAATGAGCCTTAATTATTTTAAAGGATTGTTTTGGTACCTTAACTGCTTAAAAGGAATCAAAATATTCCCACAATGGGATCATTTTGATTCTTTTTTAAAGTCTTGGGGGATCAAAGTAGTCTTTTGATATAGTTGAAGATTATTTTAGTCTTTCATTAAGAGTCAATGGATCATTTTGGTCATTTTCTCTTCTTAACAAGAAGCTATATTATATAAGAGCCATGATGGAGGGTTGTTGATGCAAGCAAAATGGGAAGAGCCAGCTGATTTCTGGCTGCTCGGATCCTGTTCCCTTGCCATACCTGTTCAGTTCCCATGCTTTGCCCGTGGATTACTTGTTCGGCTTCTTGGTTGATTGTTCGGTTCATGCATATATTTATGGCTGGTTTCTTTTGGCTATTAGGCTCCCAATGTAATCTAAATGCTGTCTTTTTCTTCTCTTTTCTGGTTGGCTTGAGTGGGCGGTTTATTTGGCTTTTTAGAATTCCTAATTTATGGTGATTTTTGGGACTCCTCTTCTCCAATTTAATATGGGCTAATTGAGTGACTCTTGGGCTTCTTTTCTTTAATTTATGAGGGTTGTTTTATGGGCTTTTGGGCTTCTTCTTTCCTCCTATATAAAGTATTGTTTTGGGCTGTTTTATGTCTGTGATGTGTGAACAATATTTAGAAAATGTAAAATATGAGGGTTTTATGGATAGCTTGCGAGCTATGCCTCTTCTTCTTCTATAACTTCGTCTCGGTTTTCTAACCTCCTCTCCATGGTTACCACTCCATTGCATCTTTGTTCTCAACTTATCTTATTATCAATATATTAGGTGTTTAAGTGTCTTTTAACGTGTCTTTGTTATCATATCATCTATAATTTGTAGTTTTGTCGTTAAGTCACCTTATTAGTTATTTTTTTTAGTATATTTGGTTTGAAGTTGGTCAATTTTGGAAGACTTGCAAATTTTGTATTTGTAAGCAATTTTTCTTGTCTGCATCAAAAATGGTTTCAAAGCTTTAGGTTGTGTGCAAGTCTTTTTGTGAGTCTTTAGATAAAATATTTTTACAATAATGAGCACTCCAAACCTTCATCATATTGGAATATGAAGTCAAGAGCCGACAGAATTTCAATTTGAATACGATCCTGCAAATGTTGAAAGTCAAAACTCCATTGCTTAGTACTCATGAAGTTGGCATTCTAACAGACATCATTCTCTCGCCCAAAGGAGATTCAACAGACCCGATTCAAACTGAATTTTACAAGATACAAAGATTGATGTACTTGTGTGATGAGAAATTTGAGAAAAGAACTCATGTACTTCTCGCTAAATTTAATCAAGAAAAGGAATTGATTAAACATAAGTATGCTGCTATGATTAAAGAATTGGTTCGGTCAAACAAAGATATTTTTGAATTGAACTCATTAGGAGATGAGGTTCTTCCACCAGGGGAGAATTGATGCAAGAAAAATGGGAAAAGCTGGCATATTTGCTGGCTGTTTGGTGGTTGTTCGGATCTTGCTCCCTTGCTATACCTATTCAGTTCCCTTGCTTTGCCCGTGGATTACCTGTTCGGCTCCTTGCCTGATTGTTTAGTTCCTGCATATATTTATTGCTGGTTTTTTTTTGTCTATTGGGCTCCCAATGTAATCTAAATGCTGCCTTTTTCATCTCTTTTTTGGTTGGCTTGAGTGGGTGGCTGATTTGGCTTTTAGAATTCCTAATTGGTGACTTTTGGGATTCCTCTTCTCCAATTTAATAGGGGTTGATTGGGTGACTCTTGGGCTTATTTTCTTTAAATTATGAGGGTTGTTTTGTGGGCTTTTGGGCTTCTTCTTTCCTCCTATATAAAGGATTGTTTTGGATTGTTTTATGTGTGTGATGTGTGAACAATTTTTGGAAAATGTAAAACCTGAGGGTTTTTTGGATAGTTTGCGAGCTATGCCTCTTCTTCTTCTTCTCCTTCTTCTATAACTTCATCTCGATTTTCTAACCTCCTCTTCATGGTTACCACTCCATTGTATATTTATTCTCAATTTATCTTATTATCAATGTATTAGGTGTTTAAGTTCTTTTAACGTGTCTTTGTTATCATATCATCTATAATTTGTAGTTTTGTTGTTAAGTCATCCTATTAGTCATTTTTTTTAGTATATTTGGTTTGAAGTAGGTCAATTTTGAAAGACTTGCAAATTTTATATTTGTAGGCAATTTTTCTTGTCTGCATCAATTTGATCAAAAAGATCGCAAAATTACATACAAACTAAAACTTTCTTCTAAAATACCACAAACATACAAGATACATCATTCAACAAAACACAACTTAACTTTTATAATAGAAAGACGACACATATACAATTTATAGCACAAAACTCCTAAAACTGTTTTTCATTCGTCGAGAAGAAAGATACAGGTGGCAAGGAACTTACGGAGAGAAGAAAGAGATAAGAAGCCCAAGACGAAGTCGAAGAGAGGACAAGTTCGCAAGCTTTCACAAGAAGAAGAGAAAAGGAACAAGCTTGCAAGCTTTTCCAAGAAGAAAACCCTCAGGTTTTTGGCTCCAAAAATCAGTCCATTATCTCCTTTTTTATCAAAAAAACACCACATATTTATAACTGAAAAAGGCAGCCAAACAATCGAAAATACCACCAATCGAACCAATCAGGACAAAGGAAATAAAAGGCCAGCAGGCGGTCCAGGAGCAGCAGCCGAAGGGCCACACAGGGAACCGGAACAGGCAATTATGGGAGACAGGAACGGGTGCCCACAAGGAACCAGAACAGGTAGCCAAGGGAGAAGAATCAGCCACAGGGAGAACCGTAGGGCCAATAGAGAGGGGGAATGAACCTAAATAGCTTCAATTTGTAAGCTGAAAAAGAAGTAGAAGCTCAGCATTAATGAGCTGAAGTATAACAGCTCCCAAAAACACAGCAAAAATCGAATAGGCAAGCCCAAACCAAGAACGAAATGAGCCGACGCCCCCCCCCCCCCCCCTCTTGTCTGTACCAAATTCTCCTCCGGTTGAAAAATTTTGTCTCCTGATGAGATCGAATTCATTACATTCCCTTATGAGCTAAATGAGCCATTTATGATGATAGATCTTCCACATGAATTGGAACTTCGACTTGCTGACGGATTTGACTTTCTGTTCCGGTTTGGTGTTTTTATTTTAAAAGAAAGGAAGACACGCGACAACCTAGAAATATGACTCAATGAAAGGAAGACACCTAGAACCTAGACTCACACGACACCAAGATTCACACGACAACCAAACACTCTCATACCAAATTGATGCAATAAAAAAGATCGCAAAATTACATACAAACTAAACTTTCTTTCAAAATACGACAAACAGACAAAATGCATCATTTCAACAAAACTCAACTTAACTTTTATAATAAAAGACGACACATACAATTTATAACATAAAACTCCTAAAACTGTTTTTCATTCGTCGAGAAGAAAGATACAAGTGACATGGAACTTGCGAAGAGAAGAAGGAGATAAGAAGCCCAAAACGAAGTTGAAGAGAGGACAAGCTCGCAAGCTTTCCCAAAAAGAAGAGAAAAGTTAGAAGCTCACAAACTTTTCCAAGAAAACCCTCGGGTTTTTTGCTCCAAAAATCAGTCCATTATCTCCTTTTTTTTATCAACAAAACATCACATATTTATAGCTGAAAAGAGGCAGCCAAACAGCCCAAAATACCACCAACCGAATCAATCACGATAAAGGAAACAGAAGGCCAGCAGGCGGTCTAGGAGCAGCAGCCGAAGGGCCACACAGGGAATCAGAACAGGCAGCCACGGGAGACAGGAACGGGTGCCCACAGGGAACCATAATAGGCAACCAA